TAGTGGGGAGCTTTTTACCTTAAAGTGTTACTAAACCCAAGACCCTGCATTCACTATAGCTGGTTTCCCACAGTGCACAAAACACGGAAATGCAATTATTTTAGTACATATAATTTTCTAAATGCTTTTTCTCAGTACTTAGAGCAGTCTTGTGAATTCAGCAGAGCACTGGTTAAAGCTTGTAGGTGGAGTTTTCTTCTTTCTGCTCTAAGAGGATACAGAACCCCTGACCCTCTGTCTGGACACTGCTAATTGGCCCTGTGCTGATCACATGCACTCTCCCAAGAAAAGAAAAAAAAAAACCTCTCTAGCAATACACACTAAACTGAGCATGTGCACGTGACTACGGGTTCAGTCTGTCTTATCAGGAGATAAGACGTGGACATTTGAACAAGAGGAGGAGCGGCAGAGAAAAAAAAAAAAAGGATTAAACGGTCTTTTTACACAATGCAGAGGATTAACCCCTTAGGTTCCACAGTGAATAGAACAAGCATGCTTTACTGCATATACACACACTGAGTTTATGGTTGCAGGTTTAGTAACACTTCAATGCACAGAATTAAAGTAAAAAAAAATTTTGACTTTGGAGTTAGGCATGTTCACCTACTTGTTTGCACTGTATAATTTTAGCACCTGCCAAGAAGTAACATTATTTTGTCCTGGCCAATCAAAGGGGTTGAAAAGCAGAACAAGTCAGCCAGTAAGCAAGCTCCTGGACACCGCATTACTGGAGTGGGAGCAAGTATAGCTCCACTTTTACATTAAAAAGGGAGTCCTACAATGGTCAGCTTTTATGTAAAACCTTTATCTGTAAAAGAGAGGGGGGGGGGGGTACTTTGTAGTTATGTATGTAAAGTTCATCTAGCACTACGCTCTCCTGACAATGCTGCCGTGCAAGGGTGTCTCCATGGATAGAGAAGCCAAAACAGGAAGTGTTTTACCGGCCTGATCGGACGGGGACGGAGACACACACACACACACGAATCTGACAGGTACCCACTCCCACTGCGATCACCTAAGGCGATCGGAAGTGGAAGGTGTCCTCCCCGTAGTCTTACAGGAAACATGACAGGTCCCAGAAAACTACGGGACCATTCACACGCATGCACAGTGAGCACCTGGCTTTGAAGCCGCAAGCGGTCACAGCAGGGTGCCTACACTGAAGATGCCGGCACCAGGGAGAGAAGACGTCAGTGAAACCAGCCGTGGTGAGGACACCGCTGGATCGTGGGACAGGTACGGGTCAGTATTTTAAAAGTAAGCAGCTGGAACTCCACTTTAAATACATTTTAAAAGCGGTATGGAACCAAAAAAGGTTATATATTGCAGCTTACCCATTAGATGTGGTGGCTGCATTAGTTTTTTTAGGCTTTCCCCCCCCCCCCCTCTGCTGTTACCTGGTGATCTGCTGACACCTCCTGAATTAGAGCACGTCCACTCTGGGTAAAGGAGCAACAGAGGCAACTTTGGACAGCAGCAGTATCAGTCTGGTGGGAGAGGAGTGTTTGATGGACTAGCAGATTTAAGTACACTAACAAATTGAAGTCAAACTCCAGCTAACACTTTTATGAGCAGTGAGAACAACAGTTTTGTTTCTTTTGGAATAAACATTTTACATAAATAAAAGCTGATCATTGTAAGCACCCCTGTCAGTGTTCAACGGTTTGTCTCATCCCTGTAACTGATACATTCTGCTGCAAAGCTTGTTCTTTTGAGAAAGACTTACAGGCTGGATTACAAGATGAAAATAGAAGAAAGCCTAAAATAAGACAACTAATGAAGCCACCACATGTAGGAATTGTTACGCTGCAATACAATAAACATTTGCTTTTGGGTTTAATACTGCTTTAATAAACAGAAACACATCACTGAATTAACAGGGTGCTGCCAGACTCAGCCACCATTCCATATTTGCCATCCCTATCTGCCAATCCCTCCACTGGCTTTCTATTGCCCAATGAATACATATGCCAGAAGACCCCCCAGTGGGACTTAATTGCAGCAATGAAAGATCATACATATATCCAAACAGACATAGTAAAAAAATTATCAATTACATACACATTTTTTTTTGTTAAAAATACATACATTTCTAAAAGAAAGAAAGACTCCAATGCGTTTTGATCATTCCACATTTTAGTTCTTCCTCAGGGAACATAGAGACAAGGAAACTTTCTAGTAAAATATATAAACAGTCATGAGTGAGTATACCAAAAAATAAACAAATGATCAAAATAATTTTATCACATAGCCAAAAATAGGTCTTACAAAAACATATGTCAGAGCAAAAAAGAGAGGACATCCAAGTGGGAGGCAGGAATCCATGTTGCGGCAGGATACACCATCCAAAATAGCAAGAATGGTCAGATTTAAATTACCAGGAACCAAGGGCAACTAAGGAGCACCAAAATGACCCCCCAATGGGACTATAAGTAGTATAGAGAACAAAACATAATTTCAAAACATCAGACCAATTAAAAAAAATCTGATAAGAAACTATGCATTCAAAAATGGTCCATAAGGAATAGATCAAAAGACTGAACTGACCGTGTCAAAATCAGGCCAGTATACAAAAATAGCTTTCTGCGGCTCTTTACAGACTTGGAAAGCAATAATTTTTGCTGTTTACTTCTTGTATGGTATATTACTATATATTTCACTCCCATATGGCATTGTTAATGTTCAGTTTCCGATGTCACCATTGGCAATTGCTGCTAACTGCATGCATACTATTTTGATGTTTTACATGCTTTTTCGGTCTCTGTCCTATGGGATCTAGCATATTTCCATCCTTTGGAGGAATTAGCATCTCAAATTACCATTCTATTGCCTCGAGTCATATCTATCATAGAGTGAAACTCCATCTATTTTCTGTATATTGGCTTGATTTTGACACAGTCAGTTCCATCTTTTGATATATTCCTTATGGACCATTTTTGAATGCATACTTTATCAGGTCTATTTAATTTGTCTGATGGTTTGAAATTTAACTTATTTTGTTCTCTATACTACTTACAGTCCCATTGGGGGGTCATTTTGGTGCTACTACTTACAGTCCCATTGGGGGGTCATTTTGGTGCTACTACTTACAGTCCCATTGGGGGGGTCATTTTGGTGCTACTACTTACAGTCCCATTGGGGGGTCATTTTGGTGCTCCTTAATTGCCCTTGGTTCCTGGTAATTTACATCTGACCACTCTTGCGATTTGGGATGGTGCATCCCGCCGAAACGTGGATTCCTGCCTCCCATCTTGGATGTCTCTTTTTTTTGCTCTGACATATGTTTTTGTAAGTATTATTTTTGGCTGTGATAAAATTCTTTTGATCATTTGTTTATTTTTTGGTATACTCATTCATGACTGTTTATATATTTACTAGGTTTCCTTTTCTCTATGCCCCTGGGGAAGATCTAAAATGTACCTTAGATTGTACACCCCTTGAGGGTTAGGGACTGATGTGAATGTACAATATATATATATATATGTAAAGCGCTGCGTAAATTGACAGCACTATACAAGTACCTGAAATAAATAAAATGTGGAATGATCAAAACACGTCGGGGTATTCTTTTTCCTTTTTGTGTGGTCTTTGATCTTGTATTAAGAGTCCTTTTGTAAGAACACTGCCAGAGCAATGTTTCTTTTAGAAAATATGTATTTAACATAAAAAGTGTATGCAATAAAGTTGAATATTTTTTTACTGTATTTTTTTTTGGATAGATGTATGATCTTCCATTGCTGCGATAAAATCCCACCGGGGTCTTCTGGCATACGCATATTTATGGACAAGCAGCCAGATACTCAACATTTTTGGTTATTGCCCAATGAATAAAATGCAAAACATTAACTATATAAAGCTATTTATAACTCTGCCCCCAATTACATCACCAATCTGGTCTCCAAATATCACCCAAGCTGTCCTCTCCACTCCTCCCACAACCTCCTGCTCTCTAGCTCCCTTGTCTCCTCCTCTCATGCTCATTTCCAGGACTTCTCCAGAGCTTCCCACACCCTTCTGGAACTCTCTACCCCAATCTATCACCTATTCTGCTCACTTTTAGGCAATCTCTGAAAACCTCTCTCTTCAGGGAAGCCTATCCTGCCTTCAGCTAATAATGGAATCTTCTACTCTTCCTATCAGTCCATCCCCCACAATTATTACCTTTTGTACCACCAGCCCCTCCCTCCTAGATTGTAAACTCCAAGGAGCAGGGCCCTCCTATCGGTCTTGTATTAAACGGTATCATTGCTGTATCGTTTCCTGTTATATTGTAAAGTGTGCTGAGCAAACTGTTGGCGCTATATAAATCCTGTATTATAATAATAACAAGCCATGGTGGAAATCTAGAGGTGGCTCTGGCCCAAGGGGGAGGTGTACAGGTACTGGCAATGAAGGGGTTAAGGTCACCACACAGCCGCAGAGTGTCCCCGGCCATAGATATGAGTGTCACTGTTCTAGTCCTAAGTGATTAGTAGCGGTCATCCGACCACCCCATACACAATACCCACATCATCAATCTGCAGCTCCACCTCCTCCAGCAGCTCCTGCGGGTCACCTCTCGCCGACTTCGCCATCTCCCTACAAAGACTCAGAATTCCCGGTTCTGCACAGCCAATCACAGAGTCGGCTTATATCAGCAAATCAGAGAACGTTTTCCTATACATTTATTTTTTTCTTATACAAACTTTATTAGTACAAGCAACGAGGATGCAAAAAGGACGCAGACAGCTGTGCTCTCTATCAGCACAAGGTTGCGCTGCAAAACAAAGCTAAACACTAAAGAATTGGACGCTCCAACCGCTTCTCTATGGTTGTAGTTTTCCCTGTGCAGGCGGTCATCTCCGGGGCGCTGGTCTGAACTACATCTCCCGGTAGCTTTATTGCTGCACATGCGCAGTTGAGGTGGATTGACCTGTGTGTCAGTGCAGAGTACGAAGCTGGAGAGCCAGCTGGGAGTTTATGCGCGTACATAGCGGTCTGTGAGCAGACTATCTGTCAGCATGATGTTACATTTGTGCAGATATACAGCGCAAGGTAAGAGGAAAGCTGGTCACATGACTAGTGAGGGATACATGCAAGTATAGCTGTCCAGGCTGTATGCCTGTGTGGTAACGGGGGGGGGGGGGGGGGGGGATACAGTGCAGGTCCAGCTACCCTGTCTCTATGAATGAGTAGTAACTGGGCGTGTATACACTGGAGGTATAGCTGCCCTGGCTGTATGCCTGTGTGGTAGCTGTGGTATGTACATTGCAGGTATAGCTGCCCTGGCCCTATAGCTCATGTAGCATTGAGTGTGTTATACTGGAATCTGTGCTTTGTTCTCCTGTATGAACACCCCAGGCTCCAGCTATGACCCCCTATATATGTGTGGTGTCTTCTGCAGAATGTGCCCTTGCATGTGTGTGGGTGCAGCAGCCCTGATAGTGCCCCTGCTGGTTGAATCCCAATATAGGGGAAAGGTCATCACTACACAACATCCATGTGGAAGGAGGACTCCCAGCTCCTCACGTCTTCTCTAATGACTTTCCTTGGGAGGTGTGCCCTATTTAAACTTCCTCCTTCATATTCACTAACTGCTAGGAATTTTCATCCGCCCATGCGTCCTTGTTTACATGGATCTGATCTTGGCTCACACCCCTGTCAGGTGAACTAAAAATTACACAACGGAGTGATGTGCCTTTCATAACAATCCACAATAGGTCATCCTCACCCTGTTTAACCTATTCTAGTCTGTCCCGTGACAGATTTCTTCATGACTCTTTCATTCTCTACTAATTTAGGAAAGTATTCAACCACTTGCCCTCCAGAGAATTTACCCCTCTTCCTGACCAGGCCATTTTATGCAATACAGCGTGACGTTATTCTAACTGACAATTGCACAGTCATGAAACGCTGCACCCAAATGAAATTTACGTACTTTTTTCCCCACAAATAGAGCTTTCGTTCAGTGTTATTTGATCGCCTGTGCGTTTTTTATTTTTTGAGCTATAAACAAAAAAAAGACTGAACATTTTGAAATGAAAATATTTTTGACTTTTTGCTATAAAACATGTCAAGTACAAAAATATTTAAAATCTAATTTTGTCATAAATTTAGGTCTTTGTAGTATTCTGCTTCATGTCTTTGCTAAAAAAAAAATCCCAATACGTGTAAATGAATTGGTTTATATGAAAGTTTATAGCGTTTACAAATAGCGGTATATATTCTGGGATTTATTTTTTTATATACTAGTAATGGCAGCGATCAGCGACTTATAGCGGGACTGCAGTGGGCATTTTGACACTGGGGAGGGAACTGACCAACTGTCACTGAACTTTATTTGGGGTTACTCAGAGGCACTTTAAATGATGGCAGGTGTGTACTGACTCCTATTTAACATGATTTTCAATGTGATTGCTTAATTCTGAACACAGCGACATCCCCAGTTATAAGAGGGTGTGCACACTTATGCAACCACATTATTTTAGTTTTCTATTATTACTTCCCTCCACCTAAAAGATTTCAGTGTTTTCAACTGATTTGTACAGTTTATAGGTTACATTAAAGGTGGAAAAAGTTCTGAAATGATTTATCTTTGTCTAATTTTTTTCACATCACAGAAACCTGACATTGTAACAGGAGTGTGTAGACTTTTTATATCCACTGTGTGTGTGTGTGTTTGTGTGTGTGTATATATATATATATATGTATATATATGTATATATATATATATATATATATATATATATTGTGTGTGTGCAAAACGTATTGGGACACCCCTCCAAATCATGGGATTTAGGTTTTCCAATCACCTCCATGGCAACAGGTGTATAAAATCAAGCTCCTAGGCATGCAGACTGCTTCTACAAACATTTGTGAAACAATGGGTCGCTCTCAGGAGCTCAGTGAATTCACACCCTTTAAAATTATGGACAATCTCAAGGCGCCCCATTATAAAATGTAAAAGTATTCTAATAGTTTTACATAATGCAGCAACATCCACACATGTAGGACACCCAACGTTAGAGGTGATTTATTCTTCCAAAGCAAATATTCCTTTTGCAAACTGGAACTGACTAGTATTTGGTGTTTCTCCCTCACTAATAACCCCACTGCTGATAAAGAGGGCAGGGGAGGGACAAGCAAGGATGCTGTGCAGGCGCCCAATGTCCTCCTTATTAACTAATGGTGTAATTGGTTGTTAGGATGCTGGCAGGTTGTAAAAGTGCGCAATAAAAACCTATGGCTTTGTGTCACTAAAAGGCAGGCTTAATCCTCCTGCTGGCTTGTATACACTTTTTGGGCAGTTTTTAAGCATATTGCCAAGGCAACCCTGAAAGAGCCCGAAGGCACCCCAGGGTGCCTGGACACCCTGGTGGAGAAAGGCTGGTCTATAACACTGTTCTGTAGTCCATAGAGAGAACTGGGAACAATGCTAAGTAATAGTGCAGCAGAGGCAGAGAGCACAGGAAGTTATCAGGTAGCTAGATTTCTGGTACAATTAACAGGTATCAACAGATTATAATACTTATCAAACATAACAAACAGCTTTCATTTGCATATTTTAAAACCCCAAAAGTGAGCAAAAGTAAAAGGATTTACATACACTTTAAAGTGGTGGTAAAGGCTGATTTATTTACCTTAATACATTCTCTGCATTAATGTAAAAATCCTTCTATTGTCAGCTCCCCTCTAGCACCCTCAAATACTTGTGTGAGGTTGATCTTGATCTAGCGCTGTGCCCGAGAGTAGCAGCATTGGTCTCTTCCTCCTCACTGGCTCCATTGGCCATTGGCTCCCTCTGCTGTCAATCGAATCCAGTGACGAGGGGACGGGCTGAGCCTTGTTTGGAGGATTGGGGCTGCTCTGTGCAAAACCATTACACAGAACAGGTAAGTATGACATATTTTCTTATTTAAAAAAAAAAAACATTAGCTTTAAGTACAATCAACTTAGGTGTTTGTAGGATAATGATACCTAATATATCCTTAACCTTAATGGTGCATCAAACACAGCCAGCAGACATGTTTTTTATGCACAAAGCTTAATGCCTGAAAAGGTGCAAAAACTTCTTTGATGTGTTTAGGGCAGCTATTTAAGTGAATGAGCTGCCCTATGCGTGCCGCACGAAAAATAAAAACCTGCGATCACATGACACCCCGATGTGAATAGGGCCTCAAGGATAAGAATAAATTAAAAAGAAATGGGAAGCCCAACAGCCCTTTCCATTCCATTTACACCACCCAGTACAGACATCAGATCAATTGACACCCTGTACCAGGAGCTGTAGCCTATAATAGGCTAAGCAGCACTCCTGTCTTTCTCAGAGCTGGAGGGTATGTAGTACTGTGCTTGGTGGCCTTTAATTTATTACAAGTACTTCTATAGCACCGTCAATTTACACAGCTCTTTAAATATATATTGTACTTTCGCATCTGTTCATCCTCCTCAAGGAGTTTACAATCTAAGGTCCCTAATTCACATTCATACATATACTAGGCAAATTTAGACAGGAGCCAGTTAACCTACAAGCATGTCATTGGAGTGCAGGAGGAAACCAGAATACCAAGAGGAAATCCACGCAGGCACAGGGAGAACAGGTAGTGCCGTGGTTGGGATTCAAATCAATTATCCTAGTGCTGCTAGGCAGAAGTTCTAACCACTTAGCCACTGTGCTTAAAGCCCTAATGGTGAAGCCTTGTTCCTGCAGACTTGCACGTAGATGACTTCTGTTAGATCCTATGTAAAAAAAGAAAAGAAAAGCTGCTCATGCTGTCTGTAAATTTAGAAACGAAAAAAAAAAAAGAATCAAAATGCATTATAGTTTCCCATTTAGGAGCTTGCTTTTCTTGTGATCTTTGAGAGAAATATGAACATGCTGTAGCTTTAACAATGTTATTGCTCATTACTGTCATGTTATATTAGCATGTTAAATATAAAATACCCAGTAAAACCTTTTGCCATCTGTCTGGTCTCCATTAAACATTTAATCGTTTGAGGTACAGTGCAGAAGTATTGATTGAATCAATGCAGTAATATGAAAACTGGAGTAATCAGGTTGTGACGAAGAACAGAAGTTATAATGGTTTCCAAAACTCCGATTACCTCAAATAGGTTGATTTTGCACTGATGATATAATGGCAAGCTTGGCGGGTGTTTTTGTTTTTTGCTGAAACAGCTTAGTACACCATTCTGAATATGTTCAGTCTACATGTAATATTAGTAAAGTGCTTGCCACGTGTTGGATGCTGTCCTGTATCCACCACCTCTCTGACAACAGCCCTGTAGCTCCAGAAATCACATCAACACCTCAATCAACTACATTCTTTGGATAAACTGTTGGTTTGGCCACTGATTGGTTGCTTTTTGCAGTGCTTCAATAGTCTGAATTTAAAAAAAAAAAAAAAAAGACATTGGGGGGGATTTCTATCATTAATTCCTCTTGTTAAAGCAGTAGTAAACGTCATCTGCTTACTTGCATCTACAGGTAAGCTTATAATAAAAATAATGACAGCTTGCTGTCAGTCAAAAATTGTGAGCGGGGGGCAGGGCAGCGTCATGCAGTCTGAATGGATGCAATGCTGACAAGTGTAGAATGCAGCTTCCTATGGGGGCACTCAGAAGGAGGAGGCAGGATCAACAGAGGGGAACCCCAGTAGAAGAGAATCAGGGCTACTCTGACCATTGCACAGGGCAGGTAAGTATACAAAGTTTGTTGTTTAGAAAAAATAAATAAAAAGCTTTACAATCACTTTAATGTCGTTTTGTACTTTGTTTGGACAAGGCAGTTTGTAAAATAGGAATATATCAGAACTGGCACAATAAAATGATCTGCCATGTCACACCTAAAGTGTCTTCAAAAATAATATTGGATCACACCACTGGCCTAGAACAGTTATACAGATTGAGAAAGACCGAGTAAGATCAGAAGTCTCTATGTGTTTACTAGTATTGAAGCAACAGAGAGTTCCTTGAATAAACAAAGGGTTTGGTTTACTGAATGCAAATAGACTGCGCACTTTGTAAGTGCAGTTGCTCCAGAGCTTAGTAAATGAGGCAAAACTTCTCTTTGCCCAATACCCAATCACATGGCAAAAAAAAAAACGCATTTTTGTTTGCACGTGATAGGATGATGGAAGTTATCAGAGTTTCCCCTCATTTACTTAGCTCTGGAGCAACTGCACTTGCAAACAGTACTGTCTATTTGTCTTTAGTAAAAAACACCCCGGAATGTTTATGATGGAAAAACAATATCCTCTATGAACCCATCCACACAGAGGAAGTTATGGGAAATAAAGTGTTTTTTTTGTCCAAAAAGTTCTTATTTATGATTTCTTGTGTAGAATTGGCAGTTTGCTAATCTGCTATTTTTGTTGATTAAATACAAGTCCTTTTTTTTTTTTTTTTTAACTTTGTTTCATCTTTTTATCTGCAGCACATCAGTGCTTACATCAGTTAAAGCCACTGCAGACATGTCTGCCCTCACTTTGTGTGAAGAGACGAGAGTCCTCATCCACAGTGCCTCGAATCACTACACACTACACCATTTGCCCACGTGAGGAGGACAACAGATGGGAAGGTACGATGCCTTTAAGCTGTTATTGGTAAGACTGGGAACGATTGCAGGCTCCTCTTAATTCATGTAGTAAGCAGAATTAACAGGCAACAACTGAAGGTTTCCACAGAAAACATCTAGCCAATAGCTTGGACCACATGTATAATTCCAGAGGAGTCCATGGTGCTGGGATCTAATCCATTTTAAAGGATTGGAGGGAAGAGCTATTGACTGTAGAATTCATCTGCTCATGACTGTGGGACTGATTACAATTAACCTAGTCCGTTATGGCTCTGTGTAAGGTGACATTATTGTTGTCTGATAGAGTTTAATCAATCAAGTAAAGATGACAGTAGCATGAAAATAAGCCCTACTGATGTTTGCAACAGAGTTGCAGGAGGTAGCAACCCTTCTATAATGTGGCAGGTCACTGCCATGCCTGCTCATTTTTCTTCCTCCTTTATTTTGTCCCTTTTTTCGTATGTGAGCCAGAAAATGGCCGTGGACCATATTTAACCTCATTCATCAAAATTTCCAAAGAACATGTTCTTGCTGCCCACAGCAACCAAAAAGATTCTCTCATTCATATTACAGTGAAAGAATGCTCAGAATAGCCTGAATGGTTGTTAGGAAGAAGACCTCTTACTGAAGAGAATACTGACTGACTGACAAATAAGGTTCAGTATGTTCTTTAGTTGATTGCTGAAGATGTTTGTGTGTAACTGACCCTCTCATTTTCTTTTTCATTGTGTAGGGATCAATATGGAACGGTTTGCAGAGGAAGCAGATGTGGTAATTGTTGGAGGTGGCCCAGCTGGTTTGTCTGCAGCCATACGATTAAAACAGCTTGCAACTGAAAACGATAAAGAGCTCCGTGTCTGTTTGGTAGAAAAGGCATCCCAGATTGGTGCTCATATACTTTCAGGAGCCTGCCTGGAGCCTCGAGCCCTGGATGAGCTTTTCCCTGACTGGAAGGAGCGAGGGGTATATATTCCGAACAGTATATTTATTATTATTATTATTATTTTCATTATTAAAGTGTTACTAAACCCAGGACCCTGCATTCACTATATCTGGCCTCCCACAGTACACAGATCATGGATATGCAATTATTTTAGTAAATATAAACTGCTAAATACCTTTTCTCATCAGCTGTATATAACAGGCTTGTGACGTCTGTCAGTGTCCAGCCGAGCACATGTTAAAGCTTGTAGGAGATGTTTTCCTTCTGCTGTTGGAGGATTCAGGACCCCTGACTTCTATCTGGACAGCGCTGATTGGCCCTGTGCTGATCACATGCACTCTCTCAAGAGCAAAAAAAAAACCCCTCTCTAGCAATACACACCAAACTGAGCATGTTCAGAGCGACCCCACACATATGTCTTATCAGGCGATAAGGGGGGGGGGGAACACTGGAAGAAGGGGAGGATCAGAAAAGTCAGGATCAAACAGAGGATTAACCCATTAAGTGCCACAGTGAGTATAACACTCATGTTTTACAGCATATACAGACTGATTTTACTGTGTTGGGTTTAGTAACACTTTAAGAAAGCTATCCATTAGAACAATTTTGCTAGACTTTGTGTTTAATTTCATGTTTTTAATAATCATTGTTTATTAATCATTTTATGTTGAATGATGTAAATGTCTGTAATCTCACCTTCCTACACGGGCGCTCTCTAAAAACCAAGTCTTTTTTCATAGGCTCCTCTACACACTAAAGTGGCCGGAGATAAGTTTGGAATTTTAACAAAGAAGCACAGAATACCAGTTCCAATTCTCCCAGGTAAAATGTGCTATAAATACAGCACATCTGTTACTCTGGAGTTTGCATGTCCTCCCTGTGACTGCGTGGGTTTCCTCCCACACTCCAAAGACATGCTGGTAGGTGAATTGGCTCCTGTCTAAACTGACCCTAGTATGTGTATGTATGAATGTGAGTTAGGGATCTTAGATTGTATGCCCCTTGAGGGTTAGGGACTAATGTGAATGTACAATATATGTATGTAAAGCCCTGCATAAATTGACGGCGCTGTAGAAGTACCTGAAATAAATAAATACTCTTGCATCCCCATAGGGATGTAACACTGCTTAGTCATCCAGATCAAGAGTTGTTTTTAGGTCTTCCAGATCAAAAATTCCTCTGCATAATACTCATCACCACATATGCATCCACGTGAAAGAGAAAAAACTCTCAATGCTTTATTTATCAGTAAGCAGGATTAAAAACATTCACAAGCAGAGTAATAAAAGCACGTTAAACCGATCCTATATATAGTATGTGAAACAAACAGATGGCACCAATTGCACAGCTCACCACTACTCTCATGGATCCCAGGGAACCCATTTGCATGATGGTGTCAGTAAATTGCATACTCAGCCCCTTTATGCATAGGATCCTTCTCATGTGAACACACCCTTGAAAGCTGCAACTAGTGAGCTAAACGTTTGGTGGTGAAAGCACCTTCTCTGGCTGAGCCGAATCAGCATACATCACTTCTTGTAAGTGAGGATGCACTGAAAGGGATTTGGGTTTTTTTGGGCAGTTGTCAAGACCCAGAATCAGTGATTTTAGGGGGAAAGGATTAAAGCGTGGTAACTTCAGGTTAGTGCACACCACATCTGGCAGGAAGCCCACCATAGTCTTTTGAGTCTGAGACAGCCCTGCACCTTGAGATTCTCCTTTGGGAGGACTTGTCCACAGAAGATTTCTGATCCTCAACGGCTTCCTCCTCATCCTGAGGATTTTCCTCCGACACTACACACTCGCTCAAAAGGGGAGGAGGGAAGGAAGGAGAGTGGCCCATGTTTGCACCCCAGGTGCCCAAACCAGTGAGAACCCCTGATGTCTGATCTTGCAGACCAGAAGTGACTGCAGAAAATTCATCCCTTGACACAAGAGAAGTGTAGGATTGTGCCCCTGAGACAATAGAAATATCAGGTAAAGGCAGAGAGGCCATTGCAGGCGAACTGTGCAGGGGTTCTTCCTACATGATAGGGGGTTTAGGGAGCCCACTCCTATCATCCTCCCTTCCCTCTCCCCCTCTCTACCTGTAAAAGTCCATTGGGGGATCGCTCCCCTAGACCTGTAGAGCACCCTGTCGGTGATTTCCCTTGGAATGCTGTATTCAGGAGATTGCTGTCTGCAGGACCCAGTGTTGACTGGCAGCATTACAGGCTATCTCCTCTCTTGCAAACGGTTAGGGTCCCTCTTGGACTGCTGGTTGTAGTGACTGAACTGAATAGAGCCCACCTCTTCCATCTGGGATGTTAGGAAGAGGCCACGTTTTATGTGAACCAGGTGTTATGCCCAGGCAGGGATTCCTTTTTGGGGTTTTTTCTTTGACCAGTTTCCATTCGCTTTAAGGTGGCAGCATAACCCAAGTAGTCACGAACATGAACGTCTCTTGGTCCTGTGATGTATAATTTTAAGAAATCCCTTTTTTTGCTGCTTGGTGCAAAAACGGTAGATGTGACTTTTGTTTAGAAACAAATGTAAACAAATATTGTTTGAGTCAGTAGAAGCAGACCACGTTTTGAGCATGGTGCAACACAAATACAGAGGCATGAATACAGCGCTGAGCGAACTATTGGCGCTTTATAAATACTGTATAATAATAATAATGAGGGTTTCATATATACATAAGAAACTGCCACATGTCAAGGTTATGTAGATATGTCGGTGGGCAAAGTTCATGGAAATGTTTTAATAATGCTTTTTAACATTCAACACAGACATCTGATACTTTAAAAACAAAAGTTTCTAATATATTTCCATCTTTTAATTGTTTAATTTTTCTGCCCACATGATCCATCACCACTGAAAATGGCCAGCCATAGTCTGAGGAATCGTACAGCTCTGTTTGTGGTCTTCATTTTTTAATTTATCCAGTTGGTCCTGAAAATTGTATGACGTTTCTAGCATCTTGTATTTGATTGTGAGATAAAAGCAGATTACATGATAAGTAAATTTGTTTAAAGTAAAGGGATTGAAGAGAATGGTTGTAGTATGAAAATTATACATTGCTTGGTACTCCTGTCACTCTACGTCATCACCTTGCACTTCCTTCCTTTTAGAAAGCCCATAGATATGGGGGAATTATCTCTGATATCTGGATATTTCTCATACTTGTAACTGGGCGTAGACATAAATTTGAATGTACTTACTACTAGTAAATATGATGGCTCTTTTAAAAGCCAGATATTATTTTTGCAGACAGTATTTTTATGGGTTAACCAGACTACCTATTATACATTTTTTTTTTTATTTTCCTCTGCAATTATCAGATGGTGGGGTCTGAGTAGATTGGCGTTTTGTGGGTTACTATGTCTACTTCATCAGAGGTTTTGAAGAATATTTCATTGAACTAAGCAGACAACTGATCGAAGGCGTGTTCAAGATGGCGACCAGAGTGGCCACATAGAGAGGGCTCTGCTGCCTCGACCTATAAGCCGGATCCATCCTGGGGGCAGTGCTGTTCCTCTCACCCCAGAAGTCCTGCTGCTTGTGACCGCTGCCTGGGGGAGGAGGAGCACGGCCATCTGACCCCCCTCTGGAGCTTGGATGTCCACGGCCTACCGCAATCAACTGCGGACTACAGGTTGGTGAAGCCTGGGGCCTCTCTGCTTGCTCGGACGGGGTTGCGCTCCCGCTTGGCGCCTGCCCTCCTCCAACAGCTGCAGCTGTAGAGGAGGAATATCAGCACCCTGGACCCCAGGGCCTCTGTGGACTACTGGGATGGCGCTTGAGTGACGCGGCCCAAACCTTTTTACAGGGTGACAGCTGCTTGAGGGAGGAGACTGGTGTCCCCGGCTCCCCCCTTACGGTTACAGCTACAATTATAATCAATCATTCACATTTATGAGCAACACAGGCCAGCTGGTTGTATTGTGAGGCAGTCGTCATGGTAATCAAATTTCTCTATCTGTGCGGATGAGGCCTGGGGGATGACTAGAGGCAAACCCTCGACCGCTGGCAGACGATCCAAAACTACACATACTGCTAAGGCCAATAAGCCCGCAGGATCCAAAGGGGTAACATGGCTGCACCTTCCTCTCAGGAGCCCAACCTACCTGCCACACCTGCAGACTTCAACTCTCTCATGACAGCTATTACCAATTGTCAGGCGGTACTCACCGCAAAAATTGAACATCTACAGACCGTCATTGGGCTAAGACCTTGACGCATTCCGGGGCCGTGTAGCGGACGAGCAAAGGGTTAGTGTCGCGGAAGACACCATTCGTTGCCTCTCGGCTGAGATGCACACAATGAGGGTAAAGTACCTCGAGACCAGAGCAGAAGACGCAGAGAACTGAAGTAGGCGCAATAACCTCGATATAGTGGATCTTTCTGACAGGGCAGAGGGTTGAGGATCCATCACGTTTCACAGAGAATCTTCTCTGCTCTTTGTTGCTTCGCATCACTTTCTCTGGCTTCTTTGTGGTTGAGAGGGCCCTTTGGATGCCGGCTACCTGGGGCCCCCTGGCTCACTGCCCCGTAACTTTATTTTTAAGGTGCTCCATTACCGGGATCGTGATCTAGCGCTGCGTGCAGCTAGGTACCAGGGTGAACTCCGGTACGCAAATCACAAGCTGCTGTGTTCCAGACTACTCGGTGGATACCCAGCAGTAGCGCCGCTCTTTTGATGCTGTCAAGGCCCAACTACGAGCAAAAGACTTTACCTACAGCATGCTGTTTCCTGCAAAGTTCAGGATGAAGAAACCACACACTTCTTTACTGTGCCTGAGGAAGCGGTTTTGTGGGTGGAAACCCTGCGATCTATGCGATGATCTCAATTTCCCCCCGGGTGATTGCTCCTGACAACTCTGCTTTCTGGCTTTTGCTCGGCTGTACCCCCTGACAGGGGGATGAAGTGGGGGGGACCCCCCTCAGAGCTGGGAGGACATTATCGGGACATTTTCTCAAACCCTATAGTCCCCACATATGCATATTACAGGACACCCATTTGATGGACCGCAGGGTACTTCGCTTAAAGAGCGCTTGGGTCGGACACTACTACAATGTGGCGTCCATCCTCTGATGAAGTGTTGTGACACGAAAGGCCTCAGGAGGAGCCAGTAGCAAGTGTGACTTCCTGACCACTGAGACCATGAGGAGGTCCAGTGGTCTCTGATCTTTACTACTGCCGGGTTAGTACATTTTTTCTCACACTTACCAGTCAGTATATTGGCTAATGGTATCTGTATGTATATGTGACCCTGGCTTTATGATTGTTGCTCCAATAAAATTTTGAACCTACTACACTATTGGCGTTCCCTCTTTTCTTTGACTCTCCTGTTGGAGGGTTTCAGATTTACACCTACCACTTTTTGGGGCACCTGGAACCAGAAGGGTGATCCCTGTCCACCTATCATTTGGGGCGAGAGGGTCTCTGGATCTGGAGGTATTGCTGCACCCAAGGCTGATGTCAGTAATTTAGAGGGAGGATCCATGTGTTTTCTGGAGCTGCATGCCTGGCTGGTCTTCCTGGATAAAATCACACAGAGGCGCATTTAAAATGTGCAGTCGGTGAGTGCGCATTTTACCTATTCCAGTCACCTAATGAGGAGGAGGCCTGCACTTATTTGATTTTATTAAGACTTTATGAACTATTTTTATGTATAATTTTATAAATTTTTATTTTTAATCATAATACAGCGCTGCACTATATATATATATATATATATATATATATATATATATATATATATATATATATATATATATATATATATACACAATGTTTCTGTTATGAGGTCCAGTGATCCCTTGAAGTGTTTCAGCAG